ACAACCCTTGGAAGTAGATATCATTAGCTAGTTTACAGGTGGGTAAACCGAGGCACACAGAGTTGTTTTTACTTTTTTTATGGAACTTGCTCAAGGTCACTGTAAGAGCCAGGATCTGAATGCAGGGACTCTGGACCACAGGCCACCACACTATGCTCTCTCTGAGAGAAATGGGTCGGGTGGAGGGTAATAGGGAGCACGTGGCCCAGAGAACTGGAGAATGCTTGCTTTGTGGCAGCCAAACTCTCTGCGGCTCTGTGCCCTAACCTTTTATTTCAGGCCTCCCAGCACTCCCCCATCTCTACGTAAGGTTCTGCTCATTCTATTGCCTCCTCTCTCTCTCTCTCTCCTCCTGACCCACTACAGCCTTAGTGCAGCCCAAGTCTCAACTGACCGCCAACTGGTGTGCTGGTCCTCACGCTTGCCTCTCACTGGCCCATGCTTGATAGCCAGGCTCAGCAAGTTCTTCCCTCTAAAGGGCCAGAGAGGAAGTGTTTCAGGTTTTCCAGGCCGTACGTTTTCTATCACAGTCACTCTGCTCCGCCACTGATGCAGCATGACATCGCCACAGAACAAATGGATATGGCTGTGTTCCAATAAAACTTTATTTACAAAAACAGGCACCCCTGGCTCAATGATGCCGCTACCACAGATCTCTTAATCAATCCTATTCCTTCTGTGGAACTAAACTCAACGTGGTCCCCAAACCTTAGAGAATATGATAAAAATAGAAAAGTACCAGGAAAAAACATGAGCGAATGCTTTTATAACCACAGGGCAGAAAAAAATCTTTCTAAGCATTAAAAAAAAAAAAAAAAACAAAACCAACTAATAAATAATTTGAACACCTAAAAGGTAAATATCTCAGTGGGGCAAAACAAAACAAAACAACAAAACATCACAAAAAAATATCAGTAAGAAATGACGGAGGGTATAAGAAACAATAGAAGAAAAAACACAAATGATCAAAATAGAGAAAAAGATGCTAAATCCCATCATGACTTAAAATATGAAACCTAACACACATAAAAATCCTTTTCCATTATCTTAGGGGCAAAACCAGTAGAGACTGCTTATGCATAAGCACAGAATACGGAGGGAATCAGACTTCCACATGCTGGAAACACCCTGCACGTTTAGCCGGAGACGGCTAGGTAAGCAAACAATGGCAGTTCTACATAATGGAAGGGGACACAGTGGCAAATACTTTCAGTGAAAGCTATACTGTTAAGAGGAAGTGGCAAGCTGCAGAACCGTGTGTGTGTGTGTGTGTGTGTGTGTGTGTGTGTAATGATCCTATTTCCATTAAAATGTACAACCATATCCATGGCTTTAGATCATACACATATAGAAGAGGCTACATTTCAAGCAGGGGTTTTACCTAGAATGGCCAGAAAGCGTACTTTTTCAGTTTTAGATACATGCTTCTGTATTATTTGAATTTTCGTTGCAATAAGTTTATAATAATCAGGTACTAATTCAGCCACTTAAAAAAAAATATTTGAGACAGAACACAAAGTGATTGTGTGTTCCTCCAAAGAACCTTCCAGAACTTCCCACTGCTTGGGTATAAGAGCCAAACTCCCTAGCATGAAATGCATGCCAACATGGTACTGTGGCCCTGCCTAACTCTCAGTGAGTGTCTCCTCTGTGTCACAGGCAGGTCCAGCTTAATGACTCCTAGTATCCGCAGTTTTCAGAATGTGCCAGGATGCATCCAGCTTCTTTGCCTTTGCAAAGCCTTCTCCCTCTGCTTACAGTCCTTGCCTTCTGTAGCTAGTAAACACTCGTTCACCTCAACCCCCTTCACAGGCAGAAACAACACTCACCTCTCTGGGTCCCCACTCTGCCTTAACACATACAACGGCTACAACACCCATAACACCAACTGCCCTAAATATGGACACAGTGCGAATAATAGTATTAATAATAGCTAATTAAGCACCTACAAGGTGCTGGGCACATGAGTGTCTCACATGCATTATCTCATTTAATCCTCACAGTGAGGATATACAGTGAGTACGATTATCTCTATCTTACAGATAAAGAAACTGGGCATTCTAAGGTTAATGACCCAAGATCACAAAGGTTACTTAAAGTTCAGGGTCTGAAATGCAGAGGTGTCTGACCACAGCTGCTTTATTTGTACATATGTGTATGCCTACAAAATCCCCCCTCCACCAGATGATCAGCTTCCTCTTGAGGAAAGAAATCATGTATCTCCGTATCTTCAGCATCTTGCAGAAAGGTACAAGGTAGACACCCAACAAATACTGAAGGGAGGCCAGCTCTTAGTATCATCTAGTTCCACCCACTACACAGTGCAGGAATCCCTTCAACTTCCCTCAAAGATGATCTGCTTCTACCTGGATGGTTCCAATGACAAGGACCACTTCCTCAAGAGGCAGCCCATTTCCCATCCCATCGTTCTCCTGAGAGCTCTCCATGCTGCTGGACATGCAATCTCCTTGCTCTGCCCTCTCGACTGGACATCAGCAGCACGGTTCCTTTAAATCACAGGAGCGACAGCTACTTGAACATGGCCGCTCTCCCTTCCATCGCCTTCTCGCTCCCTCCTCCCTTCTCTCTCTCAAGCCAAACAATCTCGTCCCCAAGGGACAGGGTTTCTCTATCCCCTTTTCCTAGCAGTTGCCCCACCCTGGATGACCTCAATCTATCATGTTTCCTCTACGAAGTGAGAAGCACTGGACTCCAGACTACAAATACTCAACACGGAGATGGCAGGATTTTTGGCCTGGAACATCTTAGGGGAAGATACATTAAATAGACAAGCAAACGTTTACCTGTATTTATTTGAAAACTAACCTTTGAGGTGCTCCCTGTGTCAGGCCCGCTGCTGGGTACTTTGAGTGCATTATGTGCTTTAACTCTTTGGAGGATTTATTATTGTTCCTACTCTACAGGTGAGGAAGTTGTCTCAACAAGGCTGAGAAACTGCCCAAAGGCTCCCTTGACTAGTAAATGTCCTAGACAGGATCTGAACTCAAGTTTTGCTGGACCTCAAAGCCATATTCCAAATTTTGAGAGGGAGACTCGGGCCAAGAGCAGGCAAGAGAAGGCTTAATGGAGAACTCTTGAAAGGCTCTAACTAGATATAAAAGAGGCAGACCGGTCTCCCACGGAGGCAGGAGGGATCGGTATGGTGGATGGAAGGCTTAGCCTAATTGGCAGGACAGGGTAGGGGAAAGGGTTGGGAGGGGCAGTCTATTTATGGGGAAGAATTTGATCACTCAAGATCACAACTTTCCTCTAAAGTCAGGCAGAGCTGAGGCAGGAGGCAATACGGAAGGACTGCACACTCTTGAGTAGGTAAGGAATATGTGAAAGCAGTGTTTTAGGAAAATTGGTAAAGCAGGAGGAGAGAGGCAGAGACAACAGCTGGGAGCTGCTGTAGTGACCAGAGGGCTCCTATGTGTTGGCTCTCAGCTAGGATGGCAGCTTCAGAAACAGGGATGAGCAATCTCACGGGTGTTACAAAAGACACCAGCGTTAACACCTGGATGTTGGACTAGAGATGAAGGGTGACTGGAGAGCGAAGAATTAAGGATGATGCTAAGGTTTCCCGACTGGGGGAAGCAAAGAATGCTGGTATTACCGCCAGGAATGGGATGGTGAGAGAGAAGCAGTCTGCGGAGTGAGAGGCGGATACGGACATGAACACACGGTCAACGATGATGCACACAAAGCAAGCAGCTCCTGCTGTTGACAGAGGTCAATTCCGCTGCCTTCAGACTGAGAGGACTCATTTTCAAGGTGACATCCTTACGATCGTATCTGCAGTCATTCTTACCATGTCAGCAACATGATAAATGATAAAAGATAACTTTTCATTGAAATGTGGTGATTCTTTGCTCAGCTACCATAATTTTCAAGGATGCCACCTGGAATTAGCCTCACTGTTCTGGAGTTACACTAAGTAAGTCTTACTATGATTCTTCTATCTGGCAAACTCCCTATGCCTGTTTTCTACCCCCCCCCCAGCCCCCCAAAAAGATTTTCTTTAAGTGACTTTGATCACTGAGGAAAGAAGTTACCTGCTTCATCTCCTTTTACCTTGGATTTCAGGCTCAACTGTCTTGAAACACACACACACACACACACACACCACTCTTTCCCTGGTCTTCTCTACTCTCCAAAGCCTCTCGTCTCATTGTTCATTTCCCAATTTTGACTCAGTAACATTGCTTTCCACTTCTTTCCTCAAAGAATACCTGGTTTAACTTTATTATTCCCTTGCTGTATTTCTTCTCCCTATTCTCGTCCAAGAAGAAATGGAGAGAAGGGGTCTTCAAGCTGCAGGATGACCCAGAACATTCCTTCTGAACACGGTTAGCCCAGAAGCTACTTCTAAGTTTAGCTGTGAGATGGCGTGATGACCATAAAACTTTGCCTGACTCACCGGACGGCGGTGACAACCGAATGACGTAATTATGGGTTAATACCCAATGCATACAATAAAATTCGGTACAGTTTGCTAGGCTGAGGCCATACAATCTGGTTCCAGACCTTTTTTCCAGAGATGCACTCTAAACCCCCACATGCCTGCGACAATCCCAGAGGCCCTACAAGAAGCAAAACCCAGCAGTGTGCTCGGAGACCCAGTGGCCACAGGCGTGCAGGCCTTTTTGTTTTCAGAACTCAAACAGAACTCATTACCCCACTGCCATCTTTAAAGGGTAGTAGGCGTAAGAACACAAAAGACAAGGGTATAAGCAGGATAAGCATTCTACTTTAATTACAAACAAAAAAGACTAATTTTAGTACGGTATGTTTACTGCAAAACTATTTACAGTTCTGTGTAAACAGAATTCAGAAAAGTTGATTTTGAATCCCAATTAAATTGAAGAGAGAAAAAAAATACTAACAGAGGATCAATAGTTTCAAGATACCACTTTTGGTGCGGTACTAAAATTAGCATTTCGTTTAACTAAAAATAAAGTTTCGAGTAAGAACCTAACTGTATCAGAAAAATAAAGTACCTGTGAGTTTGATTTTGGACAGCCGTGCCAAAATTCCTGGCAAATCATCCAGCTGCAACTTCATCTCTTTCCAGTGCTTTTCATCCTTCATCTCTTTCCCCGCATCTAGTGAGCCTTCAATTATGGAGGCTGATTCCAGTTCGAGCAATTCTTTTTCATTTGGCTTTCTGGATAACGGTAGGCTGGGGGGTGGAAGAGGTCTCATTTCACAGATTTCTGCTTTGGCTTGACCCAAAGATGTTTTCTCAAGGAAAGGAGATGCCACAGGGTCTGGCTTCCGTTTTACTTGCTGGTTGAGGCTCCTGTTCAGTTGTGTGACATACTAAATAAGGAAAGTACATGTTACTATAAACCCAAGGCCCAAAGTGCTCTTACACCGCTGTTGGGTAACTCCTCCCATCAGTCTGTTACAGCACTTGAAGGATTTTCCCATACCTTTGTAAATACATGCTGAATTAATGAATATTTAAGGGTTTGTTACATGGAAATCACTACATTAAGAGGTAGAGAGAACATAACTGACACCTCGGTGATGGTTTTTAATTCTATGGTTTAGAAAATCCTGGACTTTTAAGTTCCTTGAAAGAAAAATAAATTTCTTATTCCCTCCAGCATGATCTCCAACATGATCCCCACCAAATACAGTGAAAAAATGTTCTAACATCAAGAGCCCAAGTCAACCTGTTGACTTTCCACGTTTCTAGGCAAACAGGGCAGAGGGGGGCTCGGCAGTAGGGTATAATTCAGGGCTCAGTTACATTAGGGCAGTGTGTGTGTGGAAAGAATGTGAGCTTTACAGTCTGGCAGTCTCTATTGCTTACTAGCAAGCAGCAGTTAACTATTACTAACATAGTGAGGCACTGTGTAGTTTCACATAATATAGATCTTCATAGTTTATAAAGTATATATCTTATTTGTGCTTTTCTAAAGGCCATTTAAGAAGCCGGATCATTATCAGTATCTCTTTCTTTAACTTACAGAAGAGAAAACTAAGGCTCAGAAATAAAGTGACAGAGTCAACAACTAGTTAGTTGTAACTGACAAGAGTCAACAATCAGTTAGTTATAAGTGGCCCTGGTCCTCGGAGCCACCTGCTCTGACAACCAGTTAACTGATTTTTCTGTTATATCACAAAGACTTGAAATTACACACACTAGTTCTAGAAAGGAATTACTAACTCATGAATGAACCCAGAATTCTGTGCACATAAGGCATTATACATACTTGAGTTTCTCTTCTAAATACCCATTACCCTTGATCCCCAAAGTAAGAAATCTGAACATTTCTGGAAATGTAAATCCCTTATCAAAATAATGAGTTTCATTAAGATTTTAAGTTAATTTTACATTTTAAGTTAAAGTGGGCATTCTGAGTTAAAAAAAGAGAAGTGTCAAATCAGATTTGAGATCATGAACTTGCTAACCGTTCAGGCTTGCATCATAATTATGAGTTTTTAACTATCTCCATTCTATACTTTTCTATCTAATGGCAAATGTCCTTACTGGTAATTAGGAATAAGCTACCATGTTGCCCACAATATCATGGAGCCAACCTAGAGGACCAGGATGTACGAGTAATGCCCACTATAAAATGCCTAGCAGAGGGTTCTAGAGGGGAGGGGGGTGGGGGGATGGGTTAGCCTGGTGATGGGTATTAAAGAGGGCACGTTCTGCGTGCACCACTGGGTTTTATGCACAAACAATGAATCATGGAACACTACATCAAAAACTAATGATGTAATGTATGGTGATTAACACAGCAATAAAAAAAATTTAAAAAAATGCCTAGCAAATTCTAAAAACTCAATTTGCTACAAAAACTACGCAGAGGCGCATGCATTTAAAAGACTTTTAGATGCACTGCTGATGTAGGAAAACGGGAAGGTCACACTGTTAAAGAAATTATTTCTATATCATTGATATATTCACAGAATTTTAAAGAATTTAAAGAGATATATGATAACAGTTCAGCTTTTCCTAATTTTCTCCTAGGTAAAATATGCCAGAAGTTTTCAATCTTTCTCCAAACTTAATCAGTAAGTTCAAGATCATACTTTTAACCTCCAATGCCAGGACTATTCTGGTTTTAGTTAAGAATAATCAAAACAAGGAATTAAAGTTTTGGATAAACGCCAAAAGGACACTAAATAAAAGTCTTTTTCAAGCAGTACTTCTTACAACTCTTCTTTTAATAGGAATTTCTCAAATTCCCTCATACAAAGAAAGTAAAGGCAGACAGCAGCCGAGTGAGAATGGTCTTCTCAACATACCATGCGCCTGAGGAAGGACAAGTGCTGAAATGTAATCCACTGCTTATTGACATTCCTGAAAAGATGCACGAATGTGTGAGGGGATTCCTGCATAGCTCTTCTTTGTAGATACCAGACACATCCTCCTACCCAACCTGTATGGAGAAAAGGGAAAGGTTCACGTGATTAGTGCTTCTCACCAAAACCTGACTGCGTCTACCCAGAAGCAAAGCTGGCCACCACCATAAGCAATGGGACGTGTGAAGGGTCAGAACTCTGACCAGATTTGTGCATCACTGCCACGAATCCCCTCGATTCACTAAGTGTAAATTCTTCAGCAGGGATAGGGCAATTTTTCATTTCGGAATCATTATACTTTTATTATATGAAGTGCTGAAATGACCACACTGTAGATTGTTTTGAGAAAAATATAAAACACTCAGTTCAGTCACTTTTAAAATAGTGGAAAATGAGAAACACAGGTTTTCTCAGTGACAGTAAACTGGAAAATACATTTCAGATTAATACTTTGGCCATGCTGGGTAAGACAACTAACCAAAAGGGAGGGGAAATAGTCCTCAGTGAAGTTTGGCTCTATCAACGTAGGCAGGAAGAAGCAAAAGAGCTGTGGTCTGATTTTGACTTTTAATCAAACCAAACCTCTCGAATAACGAATCCAATGCTTCCGTGTAAGGCCATGTAAGCGATGGTCCCATGGCTTCCACGACCCAAAACATTGCTCATTCTCCACCACCTTCACGCATCTTCTCTTGCCGTGTCTGGCCACTTTAAGACAATCGTGTTCTACTACATATTGTCCCCGAGCAAATGCAATTATAGGGTAATTCCTAAGCTTTCACTCATTTCCAGGGTCATCAAGCCTACCGCCAATTGCTCTCCTAGCAACACAGGGATGGGTTGTAATGGACGGGTTTTCTCTGGGAAGCCCAGGATAGACATTACTCCCCAGACACTTACTCGTAACTGACGCGTAACTGATCACTCTCCACTAAGCCCACCCCACTTTTTCACAATTTGTTCGTTTTTGTGGATGCTTCCCTGCTGGCGGTGCCTTGCCTCCCCTCTCTGCTTGTCAAACTTTCAAAGTCTCTTTTCAATTACTCTGTCACTTTATACTCTTTTTTATGGAACTTCTTACTGCCAATTGTTTCCATTTGTTTCCACCATCATAGTTTTGAGTTCCTTGAGGGCAGAGATTCCCCACTCACCTCTGCTACAGAAGTTGACAGAGTGCTTTCTCTGCAACATGGAAATCAGGTTCGCTGCCTAGATTTTCTGTCTACATAACTTACTTGGAAGTATCAGTGCCCCTCAGAATACACGGCAATTATCGTAGACCAGAGATAAGTCACTTCTTCACTGGAATCATACTCTCCAATCTCAGTTAATTATGAAATGCTTATTTTCCATATACGGGAATATGCGTTGTCTGCACATGCATAGTACAGGAGGGAATAAGCACTGAAATCAGTCCTCTGAAATGTCCTTTCAAATGAGTCCTGATACTCAAGGGTCTGCTTGTTTTGTTTGATGGTGTACAATTTTCCTTCTTTCGCCCTGACATTATTCTTTGGGGAGATAGGATTTTAACATTAAAAGATGATGTCGGGGCGCCTGGGTGGCTCAGTTGGTTAAGCATCTGCCTTCGGCTCAGGTCATGATCCCGGGGTCCTGGGGTTGAGCCCCCCCCCAACCCTGTGAGCTACCTGCTCAGTGGGGAGTCTGCTTCTCCTTCTCCCTCTCCTTCTGCCCCTCCCCCTGCTCGTGTGCATGTGCACACTTTCTCTCAAATAAATAAATAAAGTAAAATAATATACATAAAAGATTACATCAAAAAACATCAAAGTTTTATTGTTTGGGCCTTAATTTCAAATTTTGAGGTCATTTGGTCCAATGAGAAATACAAGTTGCTGGGAGGGAAAGAACCACCTCGGAAAATATCTCTCAAGGTTAAGAGGGTCAAACTGAGATTTTACAGAATAGTAGTAAGGAAAAAAAGAAACCAGCTGGAAACTGCACTTTCAAATGATGAAAACACTTCATTTAGGCGAAACATGTCCCATTTCTATAAATCAGTTCCTAGAAATTGAAAGACAGTTCAGCCCTGGATAACAAATGTCGGTCTGAAGATACCCAGAGCTTACAAGAGTTACATTAAAAATCTGTTAACGTGACCATATCCACCATTCAACGTCACACTGAGTCACAATGGTAGAGCTTTTAAGAATGTAGTGCACAGACGTGTAACTGTAGGTTCTGAATTTTTTTAATGGCAATAAAATGCTTTGCATTAAGCAGACACAACCACCAGATACCTAATATGGTCGCACTCTGCCTTTCTTCCACCCCTTCCCACCACGGTGCTTCCCTATCAGGTCTTGTAATGATCTTTCAAGGGGATCATAGCAGGTTGTACAGACCACTTACTAGCAGATTTTTTGGGCAATTGTGTTCACTGTTTCAGGAAGCTAAACTGTCTTCGTACCAGCACTGAAAAGACTGATCCAGCACCAAACCATATGCAGCCCACTTACTGGAACTGGGAAACTCTGAGCAGTGAAGTGAGACTGTTCTTACAGGAAGCTGCGAGTTTGGGGCTGAAAGGCAGAAGAGCAGTTAGGCTGAGGAATGCACACTGGAAAAACCTCCATACAGAGGTAGCAATTCAAGCACTAAGAAAGGATGAGCTCTCTGAGAATCAGTGCCTAGGGTCACGATCAAAGAACACTCACAGTCAGGGATGACAGAAAAAAGAATCACAGACCTTTTTAAAAAAACTTTTCATTATGAAAACTTTCGATCGTAGACAATAACGTAAGAATACAGTGAGCTCCCAATACTTATTCCCCAGCTTCAACAATTATTAAAATAGGGCCAATCTTGTTTCATCTCTACTTGCTCCCACTTCCCACGCTCCTCCCCTCTTTTTGAACCAGAAGGGACTTTGAGCTCATCTGGTTCAAGTGCCTCACTTTACAGATAAGTAAACTCAACTCCGGAAAACACAAATGATATTGCCCTGAGATTACACAGCCAAAAGAGGCCCATAAAATAATAATACGATAAGAGAAAAGGAAGAAAGGAGTTTCACAGAGTCACTGTGATCAACATCGCTAGGCACTGCAGAGAGAGCTTGTGACAGGTGAGACCCAACAGCGGGATTTGACCAAAAAGGAGTCCCTGGCTTCTGCTACCCATCTCCAATTCAGACCACCAGCAACACATTCCTCACACAGCCCTTTGTTATCATCAAAACTACCGAGGGCAAAACAATTCCCCACCTCCTCTTGAACATTTCTTTACTTAATCTCTGAAATGAATGGACAAATAGGATTAACGAACAATTATTAAGAGTGAACAGTACAGACCAGGTACCGTTTTGGGCCCTAGGGGCACAGAGGCCAGCCGGAGAGGAACTGTCCCTAACCTTCACAGGGTTGGGAGAAACACATAATAAACCTGTATATAAATAAACAATTAAGTGGCGCCTGGGTGGCTCAAGGCACGATCCCTGGGGTCCTGGGATCCAGCCCTGCACGGGGCTCCCTACCTCCCCCCACCCATGCTCGCTCGCTCGAAGAAATAAAATCTTAAAAACAAAAACAATTACAGACTTTGCTAACCATGGGGAAAGAGATAAGAGTGGTGTGAGAAAAGAGGGGCAGGGGGCTGCACCTTAAATAGGGTGGTCAGGGTAGGCATCTCCGAAAAGGTGCCACCTGAGCTGAGACCTAGGCACGGAAGCACCTAGCACCTTTAACACACAGTCGTCACAGGGCCTTTGGCGGGAGGATGCTATCAGGGCCCACGCTGATGGCAGAAAGCCAAGAGTTTGAGAGGGACTGTGGCCCACTATCTATAGTTGTCATCACCTGTATCATTTTACCTTTATCGTACATCACCGTTGTCAGCACAACCCTTTGTACTGGAACAAGGTTTCTGAGGGAGGGCAGAGCGCTCCCCAGTCCTCACGAGGGAGCTTCCAAGTAACTTGCCCTTGTAACTAGGAACTGGGGCCCTGAGAAACCACGAGACTCGTGGGGCCCCCAGGTTCCACTCGATCCTCTCCACCAGCCTCCCCTCGGAAACCGAAAGCAGCCCCGGGCACCACCGCCCCGGGGGAGGGGCACGGAGGCGGTGCGGACCCACTGGGGCCCCCCTGCAAGACTGGACCCCAGCTCCCCAGCGTCTTCACTTCAGGCTGCTCCAGAGGTCACTTCCCCCCACCGGTGCCCTGCCGACCTCGCCAAGGGCTCCCAAGGTTGCAGCCAGCTGGAACCACGGCGTTGCACGTGGCAACTAGATGAGAATTTTCCCAAAGTCGTGCCCAAGGACGGGTGCCGTACCTGTCAGGAGGCGTGAGGAAAGAGTGTGCGGGGATGCGGCCATAACGCAAGAGTCCGGCCGCTCCCCGGGATCCCCGTGTCCTCCTCTCTCCTCACCGGCTGCTGGGGGCCGCCATCTTCCTTCCCCGCCCCCGTGGGAGAGAAGCCGCTTCCGGTGCGTCACTTCCGGCGGCCAAGACGCGGAAGGGAAAGATTGTGGCTGAAGGTGATCGCCCTGGGCGGGCGGGCGGGAGGGGGGAGTGCGGGCCTGGAGGTCGGAAGCCTGAGGTTCTTTCGAGAAACGCGAGGAGCGCGGTGTGGCTGAGTGTTCCCGGAAAAGAGGCCGCGCGCGGAGCTCGGCCCGCGCCTCCGTTCCCAGGGGTTTCCAGGCGTCCTCTGGCCGGATCTCGGTGACCTCGTGCGAGGAGCGGGGCTGGACTGCGGGCTCCGCGCGCTTCAATTTAAAGTCAGTTTGGGACGCTTCTTTGCAGACTGAATCGTCAAGAGAAAATGGTTCTTGGGACGATGCCTCCACCTTCCAGTCTGATCAGGGGCAGCTTTACTCTCTTGGCTGTCAAGTGGGAGGACCGGTGAACTCGGGGTTGCTTGTCCCCGAGCCACACCGGGGAGTGGGATCGTCAGAGTGTCTCAGGGTGTAGCAGGTGCGTGTGCTGGTTGGTTTCGGGCTCTGGTGAGAGGGCTGTCTTCGAGTCCTCACTTCACCTCTGGCCTTCTGACCTGCTTGAGCAAGTTACATAAGCGCCCCGAACCTCATTATCTAGCTGTACAACGGGGATAATAACATCTACTTTATAAGATGGGTCGAGAGAATTAAATAAAGTCTCTGTAATGGGTAGCCAGGCACCTACTATATATAGGCTTTAATAAATGATCATTAGTGTTGTGACTTCTAGAGCAGAGCTCAGAGGCCCTTCCTTCCTCTTTTTTTTTTTTTTTTTTTTAAAGTAGGAGTTTCACAAGTAAAAGGACACTGAAGAGGAAAGATGCAGCTTTTGGAAAAGAGGAGAGAAATAGGTAACTAGGTAACTGCGTTCTGTACGGGGGTATGTGTTTTCATTGATAAGGTGATAGCTGTTTTGGTTCACCTCAGCTAACGTTGCTAGACACAGGATAGGAAGGTTAAGGTTCTCCCCATCTATCCAAAGGGGTACTGCACCCCAATGTTTCTAGCAGCAATGTCCACAATAGCCAAACTGTGGAAAGGGCCAAGATGCCCATCGACAGATGAATGGGTAAAGAAGAGGTGGTATATATACACAATGGAATATTATGCAGCCATCAAAAGGAATGAGATCTTGCCATTTGCAACGACGTGGATGGAACTGGAGGGTGTTATGCTGAGTGAAATAAGTCAATCAGAGAAAGACATGTATCACATGACCTCACTGATATGAGGAATTCTTAATCTCAGGAACAAACTGAGGGTTGCTGGAGTGGTGGGGGTTGGGAGGGATGGGGTGGCTGGGTGATAGACATTGGGGAGGGTATGTGCTATGGTGAGCGCTGTGAATTGTGCAAGACTGTTGAATCACAGATCTGTACTTCTGAAACAAATAATGCAATCTATGTTAAGAAAAAAAAAAAAGAGCAGGAGAGGAAGAATGAAGGGGGGTAAATCGGAGGGGGAGACAAACCAGGAGAGATGATGGACTCTGAAAAACAAACTGAGGGTTCTAGAGGGGAGGAGGGTGGGGGGATGGGTTAGCCTGGTGATGGGTGTTAAAGAGGGCACGTTCTGCGTGGAGCACTGGGTGTTGTGCACAAACAATGAATCATGGAACACTACATCAAAAACTAATGATGTAATGTATGGTGATTAACATAATAAAAAGTGGGGAAAAATACTCACTTAAAATAATTATTGCTGATAAAAAAACTAATGATGTAAAAAAAAAAAAAGATTCTCCCCATCTGTGAGAGATTACGCTGTGCTCCCAGTGGAGGGGGTGGGGGTAGGAGAGGTTCAGTTAATAGAGTCAGCATGATGGGGTGATGTAAAAGGTATTGCAGAAATATGGATGAGATAACAATTCTAACTGGGTCAGGGAAGGTAGCAGAGATTTGAACTCTACTCAGTTGGAGGACAGATTTTTCCTGCAGACGAGGAAAAGGACACTCCATGAAGAGAAAAATAGCATTAAATACTGTGTTAAAAGTTTTCAAACTCCTTATACGTTATCGTGTGCTTTTATAAACACCTGATGTGTATTCCCATAGCAAGTCTTTATGAACTAACACGTTGAGGCTCAGGGTTTTCGGTGATCTGCCCAGTCTCCTCCTAGCTGCTTGAGTTCCAGAACCAAGACCAGAACCCCTGATACCTGTTCTTTCCAGCACATCGTACAGCCTTATTCACCTGAGCATCTTGAAGTGTAACAGTTTCTGTGATTTATAAAACACGGTATTTCAACCTTGGCTGTCTGTCAGAATCACCCAGAGGGCTTCAAAAATTACAGATGCCTAAGCCACTTACAGACCAATTAAATCAGAAGGGGTGTGGAATGGAAGGAAGAGACCTGTAATTTTCTTTTTAAAGCACCACAGGTGATTTTGGTACACAGAACTGAGAATTACTGGATTTCAGTTTTTTTTTTTTTACTTGACAGCACAGCTATGTCTAAAAGATTGATTAACATGAATGTTGTATTTCATATACTCAGAAAATACAAATTCCCAAGTGCTCTTGATTTATGATAGACAAGGTGTTGAATAGACATGTTCCTCTTTGGCTAACAGATTTTTTCTTCATTTTAAGTCCTTTCCAAAAATGGGGGCAGGGTATGATCAAGTACACAAATTAATGCATAAGTTTTTATTTATTATTTATTATCTTTTTAAAAAAGATTTTATTTATATATTAGGGAGAACAAGCAGGGGGAGTGGCAGGCAGAGGGAGAGGGAGAAGCAGGCTCCCCACTGAGCAAGGAGCCCGATATGGGCCTTGATCCCAGGACCCCGGGATCATGACCCAAGTCAAAGGCAGACACCTAACCCACTAAACCACCCAGATGCCCCAATTTATTGAGAGAAACCAGAGTGAATGTTTTTTGTGAGACATGGCCTAAAAGATGAATACATCCTGGTGTGATTGGTCAGGAGGTGCATTCATCTATCTAAATGTTTGTAATTAAGTTAGTCCAGGTCAGTAGTCTCAAAGCATACTCCCCTGAAAAGTAATCCCCAGAGGTACTTCTGGAACGAGCAGGGTTACATGCCTGTGCACAATGATTTGGCCACTCATAGTTGCAAGTAAAGCTGTCCCAAATCACATCGAAGTAATGTTCAACCTGGGGAACAAGTAAGGAATGGATTTTGGGTAAGCAACTAGAGTCTGCCACAGGGGCACCTGGGTGGCTCAGTTGGTTGGGTATCTGACTTGATTTTGGCTAAGGGCGTGACCTCAGGGTTGTGAGATCAAGCCCCGCATCAGGCTCCATGCTTAAGATTCTCTCTCTCTCTCCCCCGCCTCTGCCCCTCTCTCTGTAAAAGAGTCTGCCACAATTTTGTTGAACCTGCTATTTTGCAAACATTTTGAACACAACCCATTTTGTGAAATGCCATGAAAACTTGGGAAATGGTAGCCTTACACACACACACACACACACACACACACACACACACACACACGAACAGTTTGGGGGATTGGAATATGTTTGTGTCGACAATTTTTACTTACCCTAAGGTGAATCAGACTTCCTGATTTGAAACTATCATGTTTCATTAGACTTACTTTTAATGGACAGGTTTCTTTGGAAAACACCATATAGAAGCCCTGACCTTTACAATGTCGCTTAATGGGACTTGCAGAGGTAGGCCTCAGACATCTATAGAGCTCGACCTTTTCATTTCATATATTGGAAAGTGAGGTCCAGAGAAGCTAATTTACTCTAAGTGGTAGAACCTCCTCTCCAGACACCCAGGCCAGCATTTTTCTGTCTCATTATATTATCTCTCTCATCCCTTACTCTACCTGTAGTAACTTCATTAGTAAAATGACATAAGGTGTGGATGTTACCAGCTGTGCCGCCAAGAGCCCAGCTTTTGGAAGGATGGTCAAAGAGATTAAAATATTGGGTTTCAGGGCACCTGAGTGGCCTAGCTGGTTGGGTGTCTGCCTTTGGCTCGGGTCATGATCCCAGGGTCCTGGGATCGAGCCCCGAATCGGGCTCATTGCTCAGTGGGGAGCCTGCTTCTTCCTCTCCCTCTGCTTGCTGCTCCCCCTGCTTGTGCTCGCGCTCTTTCTTTCTTGTCAAATAAATAAAATCTTTAAAAAATAATACTGAGTTCGACTTCACATCTTCTTTGGATTCAGGCTTCTGAGATTTCTGGTCTTCGGATTTTCTTCTCTCGGAATCTACTGCCATTACCCGTCACCTTTGATGGTTCTTCTGGTCCCATGACTTTTGGGAGTGGGTGGAGACAAGACAGGCCTAGGTACGTTCCTTGCCGGAGAGAGGTCTCCTGCTTTGAAAAGGACCCAGAAGAAGGGTGAATGCTCAGACTCCTTCTAGTTCGATGGGCTCCCACCAGAGATCTAGCTCTGCTCACCAGAGTTAGAGCTTCCACATAAGCGGATGTGTCCAGAACCTTAATGTAATCCCAAACAATGGCTTTTAAAGAGGGCACGTTCTGCATGGAGCACTGGGTGTTAATGTGCAAACAATGGATCATGGAACGCTACATCAAAAACTAATGATGTAGTATATGGTGATTAACATAATAAAAAAAATGGCTTTTAGCTGCCCTCGTCTTCCTTTGGAGGCTTAGTAAAGGTGAACTCCTGCTACAGTAGGCACTCAGGTGTGAGGAAGCGTGGAGTATTTCAGGACCCTGCCTTTGGCCGTCTGTCTCTACATGACAGTGCCACCGAGCTGATCATGCCGGTTCTTGAAGTGTTAGAAGAGCTGTACCCCAGGCTCAGCTGCTGCCTCTGGAGTGGAGAGGCCTGGCAGGGAGGTGGGCAGAGCCGTAGGCAGCCCCACAGCAGGTAGGAGCGGGGAGCCCCTTCTCCCTGTCCCAGCCTTGCAGCACGGCCATCCCTTATTGGCAGAGCCAACCCCTGAGCCTGCAGGAGTGGGGTTTGCCAGCTCCCAGCTCCAGCACCACTAAGGCCAGTCTACAAGGTAGATTCGGAG